TCCTCTAAAAACTCCTCTTGTGCTTCCAATGATTCGTTTAAAAATTGTAAATCATCTAAACTTAAATTATTCAGTTCTGGCAAAGTAACTGACTGTGGTAAATGTGAAGAGGTATAGTGATACGTTGGGGGAGAAAAATTATTTAAACCAGGGTAAGAACTAATTGGACTAACTTTCCCTCTGTTTTCCATATCTAAAGATAAACCAATAGTAACAAAAAGTCTTATACACACAACATATACCAAGTAAAATGAAAAAATATATAGGCACTTGTATAGTATTTCTATAATCTTCTAATCAAATAGATAGTACATAAATAAAATACAAACCTCTAACAGGTACTGAAGGAGATGAATTACTGAGACACTGTTCTGTTGTAAGAGGTGGGGGAGTCCTTTCAAATTCTCTTATGATAGCTTGCACAACTCTTCCTAAATCTGAATGTACTGTAAACTAAACAATGAAATAGAGAATTATCCTAATAGCATTATACAAAATCGCACATTTAGCAAGCCAGGTGCTGATTTAATTTCACCCTCCTGATCTACCCATGGATGGACAACCACTGGAGAAATTTTTAAAATGGGTCTTTCATTTGGAAAATCGTTAGAAAGCAAGACTCGAAGACAAAAATCGTAAATTCCAGCTTTGAATAGCACATTATATTCCGAATCTTGAACTACTTCAATTACACTAGAACATTAAAAAATTGTAACTTTCTAGTATTGTTAAAAATAAGTAAATATAAACATACTTATCATTAAAAATCTTCAATGTATTAATTTGACGTTGACGAGAAGTGGAATCTGGCCTGTATAGTCCCTGAACCATCATTTTTTAACAAGTTTAAATCTAAAAATGCAGATATAGGATTATTTTATTAATTTTTGGTTTATCTGTCAAAGTAACATAAAAGTAAGGTTAGACCTTGATAGAATAGAAAAGAAGAAGAGAACGCTCTTACTGTATTATATATTGGACGTATTCCTTTAACTTCACCAAATTTCTTTTATAGGATTTTTTTTTTGCTTGAAGGTAATATCTTTCCTGCGTCTTATTAATATGATCATAAGGTATTGTACTTTTATATATCAGAAACTGACAAATAAATAGAATATTTTGATTTTTTCTTTAATAATAAGAAATCATTTTTTCACGTTCACGAAGAAAATTTTCTATGGTATAAATAAGTCTATGGTTTGTATTCTTATACTTATCTATAGACATTAAATCTAACCGCTGACGTAATTGTATTCAGACAAATTATAATTGTATTGTATTACTGACTTAGTCATAAATGTCAAAAATATTTTCCAGTTAGTACTGTTTTTGTTGATAAATATTCTGAATTTGATAATATAACGTTTTTCCATTAAAAGATCGTAAATTATAATTTTTTGTGATTTGTAAACGCTAATAATGGCTCCCTCCCAAGACAACAATAGCGAAATAAGCGAGAAAGATATTGTAGAGAAGGAAAACTTATGGTAAGAAGTCTTGTCATAGTACTGCGTCAAAATGTAAGTTAAAAAGTTTGCAAATATTGTAGGTCATCCATTCTTAATGATGTAAGAGATCATGGTAATAACAAGCTACCCTCTTGTAAGCAAGTCCTAGTTTTGGGAGATAATGAATCTGGAAAAACTACTTTAGTAGCCAAACTTCAAGGTGCAGAAAATCCAAAGAAAGGTTCAGGATTGGAATATGCTTACATTGATGTTAGAGATGATTACAGAGATGGTATTTTACAAATCACATGTGGTAGAGAATATTTTGATTTAAACTTTTATTTTAGATCATACAAGATTAAGTGTATGGGTGTTAGATGGGGATCCTGGTCATACAGGATTGTTGAAATTTGCATTAAATGAAGAGACATTTCCACATACTTTAGTCATCCTTACAGTAACAATGACTGCTCCTTGGGGAATTCTAGAGCAGCTGCAACATTGGGCATCAGTTTTAGCTGATCATCTTGATAAGTTAAAGTTAGACTTAGACACAAGACAAGCACGAAGGTATTTTATCATTCTACTTTATTTACTAATTAACTAGTTAATTGTAGCACCAACTGTAAATACTATTCCTATGTATAGATTTTTATGTGTACTTAGTTAATCAATTTATTATTTTAATTTTAATATTTTACAGGCAACATATTGTTAGAATATGGCAAGAGTATGTGGAGCCTGGTGATGAATTAGATCCTGCTTCTCCCATGAAAAGGAGTTCAAGAAATCTTGGTGAAAGTGATCATGATAATGAATTGGGAGAGGGTCTCCCACTACCTGAAGGAACTCTCACTAGTAATCTCGGATTAGACATAGTAGTGGTTGTTACAAAAGTAAGATTTGTTTAAATATAGTTTAACTTTTGATAAATTATTAAGCAACTTAAAAAGCTTCTACTATTACTTGTTATGTATGTGTAGATATTCACATTTCTTTTAAACATTTTTCAAAGGAAATTTTTACACTAAAAATGTTCCATTCAAGGAAAGGTTCAATCATTAGTTNGCAAGGGAAGAAAAAGTAGGGAAAGAGCGAATATAAAGATAGGAGACGAAAAATTAGAAGAAGTGGCTGATTTTAAATATCTAGGAAGTCAGATAAGTCACGACGGAAGGAGTATTAGGGATATAAAGCAGAGGATACCGCAAGGTCGTGTCGCCTTTAAATCACTTCTATGTTCGCGAATGGTTAATTTGAAAATTTGAAAAAGGGTTGTTAAAGGTGTATGTCTGGAGTGCGGCGTTGTACGGATGCGAAACATAGACAGTGGGCGCGGCGGAAAAGAAAAGGTTAGAAGCGTTCGAAATGTGGTGTTATAGACGAATGATGAGGATAACATGGATAGAAAAGGTTAGAAATGAAGAGGTATTAGAAAGAGTAAGAGAACAGAGGACTCTACGGAAGACAATAAGAAATAAGCGAGATTGGTTGGTAGGACACCTTCTCAGACATGAAGGTCTAGTCAAAGACATATTAGAGGCAGAAACAGGAGTTAGGAGGAGTAGAGGTTAGGCTAGATTAGATTACTGTTCGCAAATAGTTAAGGATGTGGGTTGTTCTAGTTTTAGGGAAATACGAAGTTTAGCTCAGGATAGGAAAGAGTGGAGATACGTATCCAACCAGTCTTAGCACTGTCGACCTTATGATGATGATCGCCTTATATAATGTTTGACTAACTCATTTAAACAAAATTATCAAAAAATTAAATTATGATGTTTTAAATTAATAAATAAACAATTAAAATTCAGTAATCCCTTCGGTACTTCCTATTATTTTGACAGAACATTAATGATTTTATTGTTTTCACGCTGACAGTTCGTTAACGATTAACCTAATATGTATTCCAATTTTTTTTAACCGTATTAATTTTGTAATGCGAAGATTGATAAAAAAACTTGGGTGTAACAGCACATCCACTTCAGGAACTGATGATGGAACAAAAGGTGCCGCCCATCAAGCGACGCCCGCCGTGGCAAAGAAGAATGTGAAAATACAAAGCAACATAAAGACAACAGCAAATAAATGTCAGAAAGGAACATCAATACCTACTCCACCCGCCATAGCAACATCTACATGTACCTCGTCTGACAGCGAAAAGCAACCAAAAGCAGGTATGTTAAAGTGTAGAAGGAGTAAATACAAAAAACTTAATGAAGAAGGGTACGAAACGTTGGAACCCTCACAAAATATTTTATTACCACACTTACAAGAAAATGAGAAGAAATTCTTAGAGGCTGTTGATTCTGGAGATACAAAAGAAGCACATAAGCATCTTGCTTCTGGAGTAAACGTAAACTGTATCAATTTTCAAGGTATAACTGCCCTTCATATAGCTGTCCAAAATGAAGATTACGAAATGGTGGAATTCTTATTAAAAGAAAAGGACATAGAAATTGGCGATTCCGTTCTTATAGCGATAAGAGATAATTACATAGACATAGTGAAAATGCTACTAGATAAATTGAAGAAAACGTCTCCAGGTTTGGAGTTCGCTGGAGCCACGCACAGTTCAGATTTTGCGGATCACATCACACCACTTGTTTTAGCCGCTCAGTGTGGTCATTATGAAATTATCGAAATGCTGATAGAGAGAGGTCACAAAATAGCAAAACCACATCCTCCTAATTGTATGTGTACTCAATGCAAAGACCGTTTGAAGCATGACGATCTGTTACATTCGGAAACATTGCGACTGAATTTGTACAGGGCCGTTTCTAATCCCGCATATATTTGTCACTCTACGCAGGATCCAATTTTGGCTGCTTTTCATTTATCAAGGGAACTTAAAAAATGCGCGTTTATCGTGAGAGCGTTTAGGGCAGCCTACACTCAACTAGCAGAAGAAATAAGTTTATTTGCGGTCGAACTTATTGGCCACTGCAGAAGTACAGCGGAAATGGAATTGATTTTACGTCAAAAGAATGGACTGAATGAACCGACTTCTTTTAAGTTTCCAAGGATAATATTAGCTGTGGATTATAAACAAATAGAATTTATAGCACACCCCAATACTCAACAAATTATTGAATCTGTGTGGCATGGGAATTGGTACGAATGGAGAGTAAAACCTGTGTACTTAAAAGTCGTCTATCCTTTCTACAGGATCATCATTTTACCGATAATCGCTGTAATGTGCTTGGTGGTGCCAAAAAATACGTGGGTCATCCACTGGCAGATTCCTCTAAACCGAATGATCAGTCACGTTTCCTCATATTTAATTTTCCTAACAATACTATTTTTCGAATCTAATTTAAACAAAAATACGCAAAAAAGAGGACCTCCTTTCTCCGGATTGGAACCAGTAATCCTTATCTACGTCATCGGCTACAGTTACAGCTGCATAAGAATGTGCGCCGTGAGAGGACCAAAAAGATTTTTCAAGTCCCTTTGGGGATGGTACGATGTTATATGCAATTTTTTCTTTATTTTAACTTTCACATTTTGGCTTGTTGCCTATGTAGACGTTATAAATAACGGAGACGCTAATCTGGAAAGGAAATTCTGGAATAGCCTCGATCCTACTCTTATAGCAGAAGGGACGTTCGCAATAGCAACGATAATGGCTTGGTGTAAACTTCTTTACCTCTGCAGATTGAATATTTATCTAGGACCACTACAAATCGTTCTAGGAAAAATGAATTTAGACGTTGCCAAATACATATCAATTTTTGTAATCATAATGATCTCATTTACAGTCGGAATGTGCAAATTTTATCAGTATTATGACGGAATGGTACAAGTAGATGACACGTATGAAATCAAAACGGAACAAGTATCATCTTTTGTAGACTTTACGTCAACCCTCAAGACGTTTTTTTGGGCTCTGTTTTGTATGGCTCCATTAGAGTCCGCTGATGTTATCATAGAGAATCTTCCAGGACCAGAAAAAGGTGTTACAGTTACAAACAGACATTCTTTTACGGAAGCAATAGGCTATATAGCGTTCGCGGTTTTTGAATTTTTAACCGTAATAGTTATTTTAAACATGCTAATTGCTACCATGTCGCACACTTTCCAAACAATTACTGATAACGTGGATATCGAATGGACCTTTGGAAAAACCGAATTTTATTTGGATTACATGTATCAAACCACATTACCACCGCCGTTTAATTTAATACCAACAGGAAGTGGCATATTATCAGCATTGGAATGGTTTCGCTTAATACGATCTAAAGGGAAAGATTCCAAAAAAGCTGGATTTAGTTTTTCCCATTGCTGTTACATTGAATATGGCATGGACCAAAAAGTTATTGAAGAGTTTCCTGTTTTAATGAGCCAATTGGTACAACGGTATTTCAGAGAGAAGTCCTCTGGCACGGAAACTGCAGAAACCGATTTAGAACTGATAAGAAAAGAATTGTTAGACATAAAAAAACGGGTTGGTAAACGAGCAAGTACAATTTTACATTAAGATAATTTATTACTACTTATATACCTTATTATGTATAATATAAAGTATTCTTAACTTCTACAGAAATAAACTTCATTCCACTTATATTAATTTAAAGTACGCATTATGCTCCATGGTCAAATTATAAGTATCATCATCATCATATGGTCATCAGTCCTAAGATTGGTTGGACACGCACCTCCACTCTTTCCTATCCTGAGCTAATCTTCGCATTTCCCTAAAACTAGAAAAAAAGTACACAATATGCTCATAAGTTTAACCGAAACTTTTTTTTATACAAAACTCCGAAACGTGGTACTAACCATACCAAAAAGACAGGCGCAGTTAGGTGCGAAACATTTAGTACGATTAGTTTAACTTCCCATACACCAAAAATCTTAACTAGAATTGTACAAGGAAGGATGAAAACAAATCGGAAGAACTATTACGAAAAGATATGTTTGGGTTTAGAAGAAATAGAGGAACGCGGGAGACTATTCTAGCTTTACTGGTAACAATAGAGAAAATGATAGAAAAAGGAAAGAGCGCGTACATAGGATTTGTAAATTTAGTAAAAGCTTTCGATAATGTTAAATAGGACAAGGTGTTAAATATAGGTACTTAAAAATGTAGGGATGAGTTACAGAGATACAAGAGTGTACTTAGTTTGTATAAAGAGCAACAAGCAGTTATAGAGCTGGAGCAGCAACGTAGAGAAATAAATATTAGGAAGGGAGTCAGGCAGGGATGCACACTATCACCGCTACTTTTTAATCTATACATCGAAGACACGATTAACATCATTAAAGACAGTACAACTGTACGGATAGATATACAGGGGCAAAAGATTAGTATACTTAAATTTACAGATGATATAGCAGTATTAGCATCTGGCAAGGAGGAGTTTTAGATTACAGATAGCTTTAAATAAAATGAAAGCGATATTGACAAAACAGTACTGTATGAAAATAAATAAAAGTAAAACGAAAATATTGGTATGCAAGCGAAGAAAAAATAGGGAAAGAGGGAATATAAAAACAGGAGACGAAAAATTAAAAAAAGGGGTGATTTTAGGTATCTACGAAGTCAGATAAGTAAGAACGGAAGGAGTAATACGGATATAAAGCAGAGGAAAGCGGAAGGCCGAGTCGCCATCAATAAAAAGAAGTCATTTCTATGCTCGCAAACGCTTAATTTAAATATTAAAAAGATTATTATAGGTGTACGTTTGAAGCGCGGCGCTGTACGGGTGAAAAACATGGACGCTGGGCGTAGTGGAAAAGTAAAGGTTAGAAGCGTTCAAAATGTGGAGTTACGGCGAATGATCAGGGTTAGAAATGAAGATGAGAACAGAGAACTTTATGAAAGTCAATAAAAAATAGACGAGGTAGGTTGGTAGGGTACGTTCTTAGGCAAGAAGGTCTAGTGAGAGACATATTAGAGGCAAAAACAGGAGTTAAGAGGAGTAGACCTAGATTAGATTACTGTTCGCAAATAGTTAAGGATGTAGGATGTTCTAGTTTTAGGGAAATGCAAAGATAAGCTCAGAATAGTAAAGAGTGGAGGTGCGTGTTCAACCAGTCTTAGGACTGACGACTTTATGAAGATGACAAAACCTGTCCCTTGTTTTAATACAAGATCATCTGTAGCATCTAAATTTGATTTACTATACAGAGTCTATCTAAACTATTATAGTCTTCTGGGTCTTTTGGGGCCGTGGTTTAGAGGCTGATTTGTTGCTGCCTAACGTTTCGTCAACGCCTGTGTTACACACGACAGCAGATAGCCGAGAAGAACAACAAATCAGCCTCTAGACTACGGCCCCAACGCCCAGAACACTATAATAGTTTAGAAAGTCTACATGCTTTTATTACTATACAAGGTGAAAAAAAATCGTTTAAATACCAGTATCGTAAAATGTGGGTCCAATTGTTATAAGGAAAAGAAGGCCAAAATATGGAGGTATGAACAAAATCGTGGCCCATATTTTCGCATTCTGGACACCTTTTTCTATAACTACATATTTCGATTGGATCCACTATACTGACATTTAAACGAAACCTTGCTTTTTCTATTTTTGAAACACTGCATATTAAATTAAATTTAGATGTTACAGTCGACCTTTTATTAAAATAGGGAACAGGTTTTGTTTGAATTTTTTTTCTATTAAACTTGTAGTTTGATTACAATGAGCACATTGCGTATTTTTTGAGCCACTCTGTAAGTAGTGATGCTGCCATATTTTTTGTAATTTCTTAAGCCAATGTACAATTATCAAATAATTACCAGGTAAGTTTAATACAATTAGTACACTTGTGTAAGATTCTTTTCCATAAACCGTAAACTGATGGGTATTACCAAATAAAAAAAGAGCGCACTCGTTGCTACTTAGACATAAATTTATTTTTTCATTACTTATTATTCGAAAATTTTAAGGATAACTGATAAGAACAACGCCAAAAAATTTTAATGGTATAGTTTTCTTAAAATCATTTTGTAAGCACCCTGTATATTTATACTTGTCGTATTTGCCCTTATTAAGTTTTAAAAACATTATGATAACGACATCTAACAACCAATATTAAAATATTTAAAAACCGAGTACTACAGATTATCTTTAATATTAAAAAAAGAACTACATATTTACAGTATATTGTAATATTTTCAAAATTATTAATTATATTATTAGGAAATCGAGTTGGAAATTGGAAGATTGTTTATTTTTAATCGAATATAGTTCCGAAAACCTTTACCTGCGTGACATCTAACAATCATAGCAGGTAAAATTGAAGTAATTAACATTCTTACGAATGTATATTTACCGTAAACTGTAAAGAAATTTCAAAAACATGATGAGGCGACATCTAACAGCTACAATTAAAACACTTAGCAAAACTGGTAATACAGATTATCTTCAATATTTAAAAAAAACCTACATATCGAAGTGTTTTAATGTATGTTGTGGTATTTCCAAAAATTTAGTTATATTATTTCGAAAGCGAGTTAAAAATAAAATTGAACGATCGTACATTTTTAATCGAATTATAATTCAAAAATCCTTACATTGGCGACATCTAACAATAATTATTAGAACTCGTTATATCGGCAGGTAATTTAAACTTCACTGTTGTTAACGTTATTAAGCACATATTTTCTGAGAACTAATTGAATACTTTATTGAACTGTAAAAGTTCTCAATAATTGATATTAAGTTCGTATTTCCCATTAAGATATACGAAAATATAAAATACTGAGCTACTTCATACTTCTTTTCACTTTTATTGAACTTATTTTACAAACATTATGTTTATTTATGATCGAAAGTTTTGTTAATTTGTATAAATACTTAAAAGCAATTTGGATGTAGCATTTGTGTAAGTCGCAAGTAGATGTACTGTGTACCATTTACTAAGATTTATTTAACAGCCTGATCAAGAAAATTCTCTCGAATTCTGGATAACTTTAAAGCTTTAGACATATTCTTCCCCACGTTTAGCAATTAACACAAGTAAAAAATAATAACTGTGTTTTGTTATAATCACCATAGGACAAAAATATACATTTTAGTTAATGATATATAAATATAAATTACGAAATAAATATCACATTTAACTGCAGTCTATTAAAATCCAGCCTTTTCTAAATTTTGTAATTGCTGGGTTAATTTTTCCTCTTTAGTTCGTCGCATTTGACTCAATGAGCGAATATGCAAATAAAGATTTATGAACTTATCAACCTCCATTCCACCGCTAAGGAATTTTTCAGCAATATGATCACTTTC